CACAATGCCAGTCAATGAGCTACTGATGACTGGCATTGCTCATTCACTTCTACTGGCTTCTCGCTATACAGCAGTTATACCAACTTCCCCTGAAATTTCTCCACGAGAGCTACGTGCCTTGTAACCTTACTTTCCAGATAACTCTCGTACATAGGTGACAGATTCCAGCATTTCTCTTGATCAATGATCTTAAGACTTAATTTGGAGAGCAGCTTGCTATTTTTGAAGCAAGCATGCACTGAAAGGTGCCACCAAACTGTCATAGTGATATTTCAAATATAGTAAAATTGTATCTATCTTGCTTGAACCAACAAGCAACAAAAATGTATCAACAAAAATGTTCAGTATGGTTGGGAGCCCTTTCTAGTAATGTAAAGGACAACAATCTTTTTCCCCCTCCTGGCCTCTCTCTGAAACAAACAGAAAAAAAGGGAAGGGATCTTGACTATAGAGTTCTGGCCTAAGGAAAGCAGTATGGAAATCCAAAATTTGATATGGACATTTTAATTAGGAAATTAAAATAAGAACAAATGTCTTTTCCCATTATGCTAATATTTAGTAAAATCTGTAGTGTACATATATATATAGCTGCATCCATGGATTCTGCACAATGGGTTCAACCATCAGCAGCTTAAAAATACTGCTTTTTTTCCTCAAAAAAAGACCTTAATTTCAAAAAGCAGACCTTTATATAAGGAATGCATTTTACTATGCCATTGTGTCTAGTAGGACTTAGACACCTAGAGATTTTGAAATCCACAAAGCATCCTGGAACCAAACCGCAGCAGGTACTAAAGTCCCACTTAATTACCAAATACAGCTGTGTATGTGTTTGTCTACACATGCATATTAAATTGGATTCAAGATCTCTATTATGATACCAGATTTTGCAGATGCAATGTGAAGCCACTATATTTTGGATGATATGAATCATAGCTCATACCCTTCTGCAAGGGATCTTAACAGTGTAGAATAGAATCATAGATTTGGAAAAGACCCCGAAGGCCATCCAGTGCAACCCCCTGCCATGCAGAAACACAAAGCACCCACGACAGATGGCCATCCAGCCTCTGCTTGAAAAACCTCTAGAGAAGAAACCTATACCATGCTCTGAGGCAGCACATTCCACTCTTGAACAGCTCTTATGGTCAATAAATTCTTCCTAATGTTTAGGTGGAATATTTTTTTTCTTGCAATGTGAATCCATTGCTCCATGTCCCAGAGAAACAGAAAATAAACTTGCCCCCTACTCAATTTTCAATTAGCATTTCCAAGGAAGTGACAAATTACCATGGAGAAGAGGAACGGAAAAATCCTGTTTTGCTGACCCAGTTGTACAAGCCTAGGTATGGATCCAACCTATACATTCTTAATTACCACTAGTAAAATCGTGTAAGCTTTACAGGATCCTTGCTGTTCTGGCAAAAGTATGAGAGCAAACTGATCCCCCTTAGAAGTTTTTGACGCCAGTTCTTACCAACACAATTCATCACAGCCAATGTAAGCACTTACCAAAACTATTTCTACCTAACCATTAAAAGAATATGAGTCATGTTGAATTCAAAGTTTAGAAGAGATACTTTGGGGACTATAATTCCCAAAACCTCACTACCGATGGCACCACAAGCTGTATTTGCTGAAGTATTTGGAGAACTGCAATCTAAAAAGCTAACTTTCTCAGTCTGAAAAGGGAATGTTTGCATCACACCATTGCAATACCAGCATTATGTAAGCAATGCTAAAAGCCAGAAGGCTTTTTAATGGAAATTTCCATGAAGTGGCATACTTGTATTCCAGGGACATGACTCAAGAATGCCACAGGCATTCACTAAACCTGGACCAAGTCACACTGCTGACATCACAACACTCAGAAGTGCCAAATTATAGCCACGGTGTCATAAATTTAAAGGTGCCTTTGTATCTGCCAGAGTTATAACAGGGCCACCTTTGTACAGATATGTATTCAAGTTTTATTGCTCTTCTATATAAATAAAATTGCAATGTTCGTTTGTGGGATTAACATAAAAACCACTGAGCGAATTGACACCAAATTTGGACACAAGACACCTATCAGGCGAATGAGTGACCATCACTCATAAAAACACTGAAAAACACAGCAGAAGAGACTTAAAAGCCTATTTTTTAGAAACAAATACAACACCTGCACAAAACCACATATATACACATACACACACATATATACACACACAAAACACAAATACACAGACTGGGCTACAACAATGTGTGGCAGGGGATGGCTAGTTTCCACTAAAAATAGGGAAGGAGGCACCTGACAAAAATGAAATGAACAAACTTTTTTAAAAATTAGCAATATAAAAACAAATCCAAATCAAGGAATAGTTACCCACTTAACTATCTTGGTCAGTGGAAATACACCAGCAAGCATTGAGGTTCTATGAGATTACCTATTCCTAGTCCGTTTTTCAATTCAGTCTTTCCTCAAGCTAACACCCTTTGGGCATGCTGAGTTACAAATTGCAGAACAGTCCTAAGTATGACTGTGAGGACACTGCATGGTGAGATTATTCAAACTGCTCCAGTTTCCAACTTTTCTTAGGTAAAGGTAAAGGTTTCCCCTTGACATTAAGTCTAGTCGTGTCAGCCTCTGGCAGGTGGTGCTCATCTAAGTCAAAGAGCCGACGTTGTCCGTAGATGCCTCCAAGGTCAAGTGGTCAGCATGATTGCATGGAGCGCTGTTACTTTCCCACCGAGGCAATACCTATTGGTCTACTCACATTTGCATGCTTTTGAACTGGTAGGTTGACAGAAGCTTGGGCTACCAGCTGGGGCTCAACCCACTCCCCAGATTCAAACCTCTGACCTTTCAGTCAGCAAGTTCAGCAACTCAGCGGTTTGACCCACTGCACCACCGGAGGCAGAAACTAACTTTTATTAGTTTTCCATTTTCTTAAAGAATTCTGCATGACTGTCTTCTTCTCTACTTTTCTCAAAATCCTTTCACTGTAAGCATCTCATTTACACCAGTGGTTTTAAACAGAAGCTTTTGTATCTTTCATTCACACAGTGAACATAACCAGTTTGAATAACACAGAAACTGGATTATAAAAACAACAACTGAGACATATAGGCAGCCAGTTTTTGAAAGGAGAGTGGCAAGAGGTATCAGTGAGTCTTCTAGCTGTCTACCAGTGGTGGGTGGCTCCTGTTATCACGTCCCACACAAACAGAAGGCACAACATCATTAGTGTCATGTCTTAACGTGGAGGAGGATACTGGAAAAAATATCCTCCTCAATGATACAGCTCAAGAGCCAGCATGGTGCAGAAGTTGAAAACTGGGCTATGACTCTAGAGATCAGGGTTCGAATCTTGGGCAAGTTGCATCTCGCAACCTCAGAGGAACCCCCTCTGAACATATATTGCCAAGAAAACCCTGTGAGAGGTTCGCCTTAAGGTCACTATAAGTTGGAAATGATTTGAAGGCACACAACAATAAAATGATATAGCTCAGAGGCATACAAGAATATTAAATTCACCTTCCTATCCCATGTTAATGTGCCTCCTGTAGTGATTATGCCACAACTGCAAACAATTACTAGATCTTATATTACTTTTTAAAGTATCTCTATACACTTGTGCATAGATATACTTGTGCATAAGTCAACCTCGCATATTAGTCAAGGAGTGCGTCTGAGACCAAAATTATGGATTTTGATATGCGCGGTGGATAAATTGAGGTTATTCAATTTGGACGTTGTAAACCATCTTGACTTTAATATTTTTAGTGTAAATTTTAAGAGTTTTAAGTGCTTGGCATGTTGTAAATGTTGTAATGCATCATGTTGTTTATTTAAGTTGTTATTTTATATGTGTTGTCGAAGGCTTTCATGGCCGGAATCAATGGGTTGCTGTGAGTTCTCTGGGCTGTATAGCCATGTTCCAGAAGCATTCTCTCCTGATGTTTCACCCACATCTATGGCAGACATCTTCAGAGGTTGAGGGGTCTTTTGGAAACTGAGGCTTATGTCTCTGTGGAATGTCCAGAGTAAGGTGGCCTTTTGCAGTTGACAGATCGTGATTTTGTCAATGTTTATTGTTTCCAAATGCTGGCTGAGATCTTTTGCCACGGCTCCCAGTGCGCCAGTGATCACTGGGACCACTTGGACTGGTTTATGCCAGAGCCTTTGCAGTTCAATTTTGAGGTCTTGATAATGGCTGAGCTTTTCCTGTTGTCACTCGATATGGCGACATCAATAATCCATATTATTATTATTATTATTATTCCACAAAAAAGGGAAAGTGCCAGGACTGCTGCAGGGAATCAGCTACCATTTCCCCACCCAAGCATTCAAAAATATCATAAAGAACACAACAGCAGAAAAAGAGAAGGTTGTCAGTGCTTTTCTAGATTCTTCCAGGATGGGCTGAGCTATCACCCTTTCATTAATAAAAGAAAAAACAAGTATATGAATAGTCATAGAAAACAAAACTGGTACAGAAAATGGTCTATTCTAACCAACAAAATAGATGGAGATTATAGATATAACACTTTGAACCAGGCTTTCCACATGGTTAAATTGATGCAATGACATCATTTGTAATTGCTGTTCCAGGAGGGAGGGGGGAAATGGGGGGAGGGCATGGATAATGGGAGATACACATCTAAGCAATGTATAAAGTGTCATATAAGGTAAGTGACTTTTGGAATAAGGTATATCGAGATAAGACTTGTATGGCAAAACTTTGTTAATTGAATGGGTGTATCAATTAAAATTTAAAATTTAAATAAAAATATCCCCTACAGCTAACTAGTCAGCTTCTTCTTGAAGACTTTCAGAGAAACAGGCATTTCCAACTCTCACAGTTATTTCCAAAGTCAGTTCCTAAGTCATGAGGAAGAAATCTATGAATGTGGTTTGTATAGTTTGTTACAGGACTTCCTCCTATACCTACCCCACTGAATACGCTTGCCTCTTGTCTGGAGAAAGAGAATGGAAATAGGTAAGGAGAAGAACTTACTTATACATTTTGGTTCTGTCCAACCAGATTCCGGTAATCAAAGCTCCAATCATGCCCGACACTATGATAGTGAGGCCAATTCTGCCAGCATTCAATTCTTCTCCCTGAAGAAAGACAGAAACACACACAACTGTTTGCTAGGACCAAGCTCAGTGGATGATCTATGGGCTAGATTAACTTTTTATGGATTTAAGAATATAAAATAAATAAATAAATAAAAGTAAATGGCATTATGCTTATAAGAATAAGGAGGTTAACTCTGGGGACAACTCTGAATGCACACATCCCCAGATCTGCCGTGAATTGCATTACTTCCAAAATTGTGGTGTCTAGGAATCTTATTCCTTAAAATTAGACTCTCTCTCTGCTTCTTTTTTTAAACCTGGGGGAAAACCCACTCTTTTCTTGAAGCAAAGCCCAGCAGCCTGCTTTAAAGGAGACTGGCAAAGCAATTCTCTGATCATGGCAAGTATGGTTTGGAGCTTGGTTTGGACTTAAATGAATTCACAAACAGAAGTAGTTAGTTGAAATGGGTTTGGGGAATGTAAACATTGATGAAGAGTATATGGAGAGCTTTCAAATAATTTTTTAGGGACAGCCTGCCATGTATTTCACATCGTTGTATTTTACAAATGCCTGCTTTTCTGTAGAGTCTCTGAAACCAGAGAGAGAAAGGCAACCGAGACAGGAAAAACCAGCTGCTGATAGACTGTCAAGACTCTGAGATTTCACAATCTGAGACCTAGGGATAACTTATGATATCAGAAGGGTGATGCCATTAAGCATGATACCTTACGCACCAACTGTAACTACAAAGAGTGTGAAATCAAATACAAAATACAAAGTCTAATAAGTGACACACATTACAACTCAGATTTCTTATCTCAAGGATCAGAGGAGAGCTAGGCCCTGAAAACTAGGACACAAACTATGGATGGATCAAGCAATATGTTTCTGCCTATAACTCCTCCTACAGCAGGCATGGGTAAACTTTCTAACATGGGGACCGCATGACGGGCTGGAGTGGGGTGGGTGGGCCGGGAAGAAGGGGGTTCTCCCCAAGTCCCCTCCCTGCCCTTTCCTCCCTTTCTTCTTCTCTTTCAGAGAGAGAAAGTGAAGGAAAGATGGGTTGGTCTTGCTCAGGGTTGGGTTGGTCTTGCTCAGGATGAGATGCTGGACAGGAGAGAAAAAGTGAATCCATTAGACCTCATATTGCCTACTCCTGATACACAATCTTAGAATCCTAGAGCTGGAAGAGACCCCAAGAGCCATCCAGTCCAACACCCTGCCACGCAGGAAGACACAATCAAAGCACTCCCAGTAAGACAGCCTCTGAGGAAAAGTCTCCAGAGAAGGAGACTCCACCACACTCCCAGGAAGCCTATGCCACTTTCCAACACATCTTACTCTCAGGAAATTCTTCCTAATATTTTCAGTCGAATCTCTTTCCCTGCCATTTGAAACCATTGCTCCCTTGTGTCCTGGTCTCTAGAGCAGCAGAAGTCTGTTTCCCCCCTCCTTCTCCTCAATGGGATATCCTTTTAAATCTTGAAATATGGTTCTCATGTTCCCTCTCTACCTTCTCTTCTCCCAGCTAAACATCCCCCAGGAGAAAAGAAGGAAGGAGAAAGAAAAGGAAGGGAGGGAGGAAGAGAGGATGGAAGGAAGGAAGGGTGGAAGGGAGGGAAGGGAGAAGGAAAGAAAGACAAAAGCGAAGGAAGGAAGGAGAAAGAGGGAGATAAGGAAGGGAGGAAGGAAAGAGAGAAGGAAGGAAGTGAGGAAGAGAAGGATGGAAGAAATGAAGGGTGTAAGGGAATAGAGAGAGGGAAAGGAGGGAAGGAGGAAAGAGAAGGAAGGAAAGGAAAAGTGAAGGAAGGAGAAAGAGAGAGGGAAGTAGGGAGGGAAGAGGGAGGGAAGGAAGGAAGAATGAAAGGGTGGAAGGGAAGGAAGGAGAGAAGGAGAAAGAGGGAGGGAAGGAATGGAGGGATGAAAGAAAGGGAGAAGGAAGGAAGGATAGGATGGTGAGAGAGCAGGGCTTGAGAAAAGAGCCCAAGGGGCCACATCTGGCCTCCGGGCCTAGGTTTGCCCATACCTGTCCTAGAAAAACTATAGGTCTTTGACAGCATTGTTTCCACTATGGTATATAATGTTCATCTATCAAAAGGATTGTTCACAGGTAAGAGGTTATTGCTTCATTAAAAAAATAAAACCATTAGCATGTTCCATTTCTTCCAAAAACACAACACTGATTTCTTTGTTCTTTTAGGAGTGTCTCTTCTTTTCTCACTGTACTTTTTAAAAGATCAAACATTTGCACAAAAGGAATAAGAGGTTCAATTATATTTTAAGCTACATGTTTTTAAGACTCTCACCTTAAGTGTTAATTCTTAGGTTTCATTAGAGCAGAATATCACATCTATCAATTGCACAACCAAAACCAATATTCTCAAAGGCAAATCTATGAGAAAACTTTCTGAACAGAGAAATACTTACTGGATAATTCAGCACCACCATACGGTTCAGCATTGTTGAAAGGGCATAGAAACATCCTGCGTTCAAGCCTGAATGGAATCAAAATAAGATATTCATACTCTCCAGCATTTCACACACAAAAAGCAGATAAACATGTGCCAGACCAACATCAGGGTGTAATTTAATAAAGCAAAAGCTATTACTGAAGAAGAAAGAAATCAAGGTAGAAAAGGGTGAGTTAATGGAGTGAAAATTACACTCAACTGAAGAAAGCCAAAGACAAAGGGGGGCAGTGGAAGTCAGAGAGAAAGAGAGAGAAATTAGAACATTTTGAAAGTAATTGAAATAGTAGATTGACAGAGAATTAATGAGGATTGTCTCTGACAAACAGGGACAGTTGGAGGGTATGGATTATATCATACTTGGTAGCAACAAACCCTTCTAAATGATCTGACCTCAAGAACAGCATTTGAATATTTATTTCTAACAGAAGTCTAAGGGCTATTGCCCGAATCCCTGACCGAAGCCCGATTCTTGATACTTAAGCCAGCACTCTTGTCTCAACTATCGCAGCACTGATTGTCATATAGTTCATGCACAACGTTTTCACACTAGGGACTGCATCAATAACTGGACACAACTCAGTCCTCCTTATACATGCAGGCTCTGAAGCTCATTTGTAAGTAACATTTCTATTTATAGGTTCTTGTGGGTTTTTTTCGGGCTATAGGGCCATGTTCTAGAGGCATTTCTCCTGACGTTTCGCCTGCATCTATTTATGTTGCAAAATTTCATGTTTCTGCATTTCAGTAACAAATCAGACTTTAACTCCCACCCAAAGAAATATCTAAGAACTTACTTGCCTCACCAAAGTTATCACATCAGGCTCAAAAAGCAGGTGCTGGTTTGTTCTTGATACAGATCTCACTAGGTATCTCTTTCTCCACTAAGGCCCCATCTACACTGCCATATGATTCAGTTTCTGAATGCACAATGACTGCATTGAACTGGATTTATATGGCGGCATAGATTCAGGGTAGAGCCAGTTCAAAGCAGTTAATCCGCATTCTGAAACTAGATTTTAGAGCAGTCTAGATCTATGGGCCTCCTAGTGGCACAGCGGGTTAAGCCACTGAGCTGCTGAACTTGCTGACCGAAAGGTTGCCAGTTCAAATCCGGGGAGCAGGGTGAGCTCCCGCTGTTAGGCCCAGCTTCTGCCAACCTAGCAGTTCGAAAACATGCAAATGTGAGTAGATCAATAGGTACCACTTCTGCAGGAAGGTAACAGCACTCCATGCCGGTCACATGACCTTGGAGGTGTCTACGGACAATGTCGGCTCTTCGGCTTAGACATGGAGATGAGCATCACAGTCAGACACAACTAGACTTTATGTCAGTGGACCCTTACCTTTACCTTAGATCTAGCCAGGCATGTAGCAGGGGGGGTGGGGGGGCTTGAGGGGCTTCAGCCCCCCCCCCCCAAATTCTCAGGGTGGTCCATGAGAAGGCCTTACTGGTACATTATTTAAACTGTTATGTTTATTCATATCATGATCTGATCACCATGCTCAATATATCCCATATGCATGGGGGTATTGGGATAACGATACAAAAGGTTTGCTAGGGTAGATCCTCAGCCCCTCCCCCCCTTTGAATCAACTCCCCCCCCCCCCCGAATCAAACTCCGCACACACACACACACACACACACACACCCGAATCAAAATCCTGGCTACAGGCCTGGATCTAGCCTAAGACAGAACATTAGCTAAGCACTGTGGTTTGGTACAACTGTGAAGTTTTCACTTGACAGATGCAAGTCAGTAAATCATTCCTCACAATTCTCTGGTCTCCAATAAGATCTGCTATGAAATTCTCACAGGGAAGTTGATTTACTGTTGCTATTACTCTGAGACTGTTTGAGCAGTCTATATTAAATTTACATCTGACTATGCCACACAATCAGCTCCAGGGCCATTTGCAGTAAGGAAATAAATTGGTTGAGGACTGTTCTTCTATTGCTTAGCAGTTGTGCTGTAGGGTTCCATGGGGCTCTATTTCGATTCCAAGTTATATTTAACATCTCTATGAAACTGCCAAGAAAGATCACACCACAAAGTGGACTGAAGTGTTGCCAAAGTGTGACTGGTATCCAGTTTTTATCAAAACTAGGTGAGCAGCACCTAGCAACAAGCATTCTGAATCAGCACCTGGATGCAATAACGGAGCAAATAAATTCAGTTCAGACAAGATGGAGATATTGTCAGTGGATGGTTTACCCATCTGGGTGAGTGGTGTTCAATCAGTATTGCAATGGTTTGTACTTCTAAAGCAGAGGTAAAGAACAGGAAAATGTTGCAATTGCTTGTACTTCTAAAGCAGAGTGAAGAACAGGGAACAAGTAGTACTTCAATTATTATCATTCTGCACCTCCTGTCATCATCCCAGCCTTTCTGTGCAGAGGTCAACAATGCTAGTTAGGGCAGATATGTCTTATCTAACAACATCTGGAAACCTTTATGATTCTCACCACTGCATTATCTGTATTGGGCACATTTATTGCAACCTGGCAAAATTTCACATAGGTTATGCAAAGCTGTCTTGAAAATTGAAATAGCTCAAAATGGTGGTAGTGATATTGTTAACAGAGGCTCATTATAATCATATTAACAGAGGCTGGTCAATATAATATCATTGTAGGCACTAGCCCCCAATCCAATTCTGGCCTAAATCTGAATGGCCAGCATTAATAATTAGAGCCCTAAATAGCTTGAAATAATAATAATAATAATAATAATAATAATAATAATAATAATAAAATCACACAGTCCTAGACACTTGGGAAGTATTTGACTTGTGATTTTGTGATATGAAATCCAACATATATATTTCGTTTGCTGTGACATACTGTGTTTTTCTGTCAGTAAATAATAATTATCAGGTGAGATAGACATCACATACGCACCCTTGTATAATTGCCTAGTGCCTAGATATGAAGAGATGCCCCAAACACTTTTCACTAGATTCCCTTTTTAAATGAGTTTATTAGATGGTTACCAGGTAAAGGGCATTTTAGGTTATAGTACTCTAACTTTGGAAACTTCCTCCCTCTATGGTTGCTGTGTTAGGGAATACAAAAATGGCAAAGCTTATGGGAGGATCTTATGAACCATTGATTCTTAAACTCTGGGTCCCAACCTCAAATGGGTCCCTTGAGCTCAATGTTGGGGTCAATAGTAGGTTTCTGAACATTTCCACCAACTGTTAGCAATCACTTGGACTCTGAAGAAGATCCTTAAAGTGTTCTCCACAAAAAGTAAAATCAGCCAGTTTAGCAAGCCTTGCAAAATGCTTATTTAATATCAGTAAATCCTTGATTTTTATACCTATTTTATGTACCCATATACCTGGGAGCACGTAAACATGTCTTGAACAGAAAAGGGTCATGAGTGGAAAAAGTTTAAGAAGCCCTGTTTTAAACTATGTTTCGATATATTTGCAACATGGAAGATACTGTATTGTGTTTTTTTATTTTCTTCTTTCTTTTTCTTTTGCTGCTTTATTTTGATTTTAGATATGCCAGTTTGATTTTAGCACATTTGACTGCACTTTGTTATTTTTGAACTGTGAACTACTGAAAGGGGTTTATTTGTTTCACTCCTTTGTGCCCTCAAGTTACCCGTCAACTTATGGCAGCCCATGAAATTAGGCTAGAAATACTCAAGAGATCATAGAATCATAGAGTTGGAAGAGACCTTGTGGGCCATTCAATCCAACCTCCTGCCAAGAAGCAGGAAAATCACATTCAAAGTACCCCGAAAGATGGCCATCCAGCCTCTGTTTAAGAGCCTCCAAAGAAGAGTTCCATTGAGACAGAGAGTTCCATTACTGAACAGCTCTCATTGTTAGGAAGTTCCTCCTAATGTTCTGGTGGAATCTTCTTTCATGTAGTTTGAAGCCATTGTTCCATGTCCTAGTCTCCAGGGCAGCAGAAAACAACAATGCCGCATGACATTGTTGGCTCACATTTAACTTGTTGCCCACGAGGACTCCAAGATCCTTTTCACACGTATTGCTGTAAAGCCAGGCATCCCCATTCTGTATCTTTTAGTCGCCCTCCAGTCTGTCTAAGTGAAGCATTTGTCCCTGTTGAACTTCAATTTTGTTTGTTTTGGCTCATCTCTTAAGATCGGTTTTGACAGTTTCTTTTTCTGAAATGTAGCATACAGCACCTGGTACCTCTATACCTCTCAGTTAATCTAGTCCTTTCAGCAATTCACAAAATTTGGGATAAAAACAATTAAATACAACCATATGCTGAAAAACAAGGAACGATATCTAAAACAAATGTTCCCTGTTTTGGGGGAAGAAGTTCCTACTGAAATCCAAGCTTCCCTTTGCAAATGCACATCAAGGCTATTTGCTTAAACCCTGGCAATGTGCAACTTAATCCTTGGCCTTCCTTAGGCAAACCTCTTGCCAAAGATTGGGAAGAAAGGCCTGTTCAAAGAGTGGTGGATCACTTTTATTACGAGGATAATTGAATCCCTCTGTCATTCTGCCCAAAGAGGAAGATGGATTACACTGAACGCACTCAACTCCTTACTATAAGGGCAATCAGTTGAAGTAAAAACCAATAGTGTGTCACTTGGTGCCTTAGCAATTCACACAACTGTTCATGGACTATTGCCCATGTCACAGATGAAATGTCATTCAAAATTTCAGGTTCATGTTATGTTATATACCCACATTTGGGATGAAAGTGAATGCAGGAAGTACTGGCAATTATCATATTTGGCAGTTCACAGAAGTCTCCCAAAATACAAGGACAATGGCCTTTCACATGAGAAGCATGGGATACTTGGCAAAACATCTACCAAGAAATGTGTCTCCTTCCTGAAAGTTCAGAGAAAATGACAAGGAAGGAAGACAAGGGACCAGAGTGTGGGCATGACAAGGGAATCATGCAAGCGTATACCCCAGCAAAGCTCAACAAACAAAGAAGATGTCTGATGTCTTCATTAGCATTACATCCTGCCATATGGTTTTATCTTTATTTGCATTTAAACTATACAAGCATTGGGTTGTTG